ATTTTTATTTCAATAACATAATTTCTACTTTGTATTTCATTTGTACTCTGTTAAATACTATGTTTATATTGCTCTAGGAACCGGGACATTATGGCTCGATTTTGAGTATGTACATTAAATATAGACACATAGAACTCGAATAAGCTACCCCTAATGATACTGGGTCGGAGCATATGTCACGACACCGTGTTTAAAATTGAAGAATTCCCAGCAAACACATCAATTATTGCTTAAGCAATTTAATTAAAGTAACACTTAAGTTATTAAAAGCAATGAGTCACAAGTTAAAAATTTTTCAATAATGACTGCGTGTGTATGTGTGGACAAGTATTTCTGCCAAATCAAGTACTGTTTATGAGCGTCCGTGATGATCATTTCATTCTTAGCAAAAAAAATTAGAATATAAAATGTAAAGCTAGTTTGGGTATTTCATAATGATTTTCCGATAGAAAATAAATTCACCAAACTTTTTAACCATCAAGCTTTATATTTTATTTTCACTTTATTGCCAATCTGAGAGTTAATTTCCCCCATCTGCATAAGGGAATGTCAAGCAATACAAAAAGAAGAGTTCATGGAAAGCCGAATTGGGATCCAAAAAAATAAATTTTTGAAGTGTCTGTTTTCGGAGATTTGTGTCTATTTTGAGTGAAAACGGCCCAATGAGCATAACTCGTGGTCTTTGCTGATGATATATGAGCTCTTTCGGTCCAATTCCATCGTTTAGAGGCTCCATAAACACCTTTTTTGTTATTTTGAATATATATTTTTTAATTTTAATTAGATTAAAATTTTAAGGTTGTTTAGCGGTTCATTTTATTTTGATTTTTATCGTTATCTTGAGTTTGTCGTTATCTAGGAGTCTAGTTCTTTAAATATATGTTGTAAGAAAATTAATTTATTTTAAAATTCGTGAGAAGTTTCTTAAACACCGCCTCTTTCTTTGCATTCGTGAGCGAATCAACAAGTTTAAATTTTTTTATGAGATTATGTTTCTTTCTATAAGTTTTCGCTATGTCAGTAGGTATCAAAGTCTTGTTTGTTCCTTCACCATGCCACCAAGAAGATGATCAATTCGTGATATTAAGTTAGAGGAGGTTAATAGACGTGATGAGAACACACAGTTACTTCAACAAGTTGAAGTGCTGATGCAGCAAACTGCTGCTCTCATTTTGCAGCACCAAGCACCTGCTATACACCGATAGGAGGAGTTTGAGAAGGACAATCATTTTGCTCTCCTTGATTTGCCAATAGATTTGCCAGTTCAGAGAAGAGTAGGTGGACATGAGGATAATGGGCTTTGGAAATCAGGATTCAAAGTTTCAGGGTGGTTCCAGCCTGAAGAGTTCCTAGATTGGATGACTGCAGTTGAGGAGGTCCTAGATTTTAAAGAGGTCTCAAATGAAAGACGTTTGCCCCTTGTTGCAACATGATTTCATGATTGAGCATTGGCAAGGTGGCAACAAGCCAAGGTAACAAGAACCAGAATCGTAAAGAGTATGATTGTGACTTGGGATAAGTTGAATGAACATATAATAACTGAATTCTTTTCGTATAATTATGTATGGATGATGTAACAGGGATTGTAGAATTTGAGCCAAGGTATTAAATCTAATACAGACTATACTACAAAATTCTATATGGTGAACACAAGGAATGATATTACAGAGATAGATGAGCAGTTGGTGTCTTATTATATAGGTGATCAATGGCCCCAAATTCAGGAAACTCTCAATATGTTCCTATGGCCGTATCTGAAGTGCATCAACAGGCTTCATAGATTGAGCAATAACAGCCCAACGAATAGGTGCATGTTCTTTCAAAAATCTACACCAATTAACAGTACGTCCAAATAGTTTCACAGAAATTGTTCTTGTTAAAGAAATCGCAATCAACAGTCGATGGAATATCCTAGTAAGGTTTTCATTGTTACAGTTGTGGTAGAACATATCATAGGCAATCTAAGTGCACAAAAAATTGTGCAAGGGGCTTTTTCACTAAGGAAGCACATAAGAATTATGATAATGAGCCCATCTAAAAGATTTAGTAGAGGATGAAGAACATGTAGCTAATGATGTTGGGCCAATATTGATGGAGCATAGGAATTATCTGTCCCCGATTGGAAATGGCGGTAATTGGCTGTGTAATAATATCTTCCAATCTACGTGTACAATTGGAGAAAAGGTTTGCATCCTCATTATGGCTGAAGAAGTAATCAAGAAATTAGAGTTGTAATCAGAAAAGCATCACAAACTGTTGGAAAAATGGTTATGAAATGGGTCAACTTTGAGCCCAAATTTCAGTGGGACCTACCTTTTAATTAATACGGGACCTAGCATATTCACGTTCTACTCCGCGAGATGATTAACGTGATATATTTATTTATCGAAAACTATTTAAAATTGAATGAAATATTAAGTGTTAAAGTAATTCACATAAACTAAGTATTATGGAAGAATTTGATTTTTCAAACACTTATCTCACATAGGAAAGTTAGGAAACTTTGGTGTGGTTTATAAGGTGAAAGTTTGGAATTGGGTTTGGGCCCCAAGGAGTACCAATAGTCTTTGGAAGGGGAAATGCCTATATCCTATTGGGTTCGATCATAAACACGCGCGCGCCGTCGTCGCCGTCCGTCTGACCAGCCGGTCGACACGGCACGACACGAGCACGTGCCCGAGTCCGAGTCCGGTGCGGGTGGACCTTTACACTATATTAACTTTTCGGACAAAATTTATTTAAAATTTTGGGCCAAATTGTTATGATGTCAATTGGTTTCAAAATTAACGAGTGTGACAAGTGTGTTTATGTCAGGAACACTTCAAATGGATATGTCATGGTATGTTTATATGTAGATGACATGTTGATTATGGGTAACAATGATACTATAATTCAAACTACAAAAATGATGCTAACAAGTAAATTTGAAATGAATGATTTAGGTGTGGCCGATGTTATATTAGGAATTAAAATTTCTAGAACATCTGATGGTCTCATATTGTCTCAATCACACTACATTGAGAAAATTCTTGATAAATTCAAAAAATATAATATTATTCGTATGAAAACACCTATGGATGTTAGTATGCATCTTGTTTTCATTACTGGTGATAGTAAGTCTCAATTGGAATACTCGCGCATTATTGGCAGTTTAATGTATGTATGAATTGCACTCGACCTGATATTGCCTATTCAATTAGTAGGTTAAGTCGATATACAAGTAATCTAAGCACTAATCATTGGAAGGCCATTGTTAGAGTTTTAGGGTATTTAAAACATATCCAAAATTTTGGATTGCACTATTCGAGATATCCAGTAATACTTGAAGGATACTGTGATTCAAATTGGATATCAGATACTAAAGACTCCAAATCAACAAGTGGATATGTCTTTACACTTGGAGGTGCTGCAATATCATGAAAATCTTCAAAACAGACATGTATAGCTAGATCAACAATGAAATTTGAATTCATTGCATTAGACAAAGCCAGAGAAGAAGCCGAATGGCTACGAAACTTTCTAGAAGATATTCTATGTTGGACAAAACCTGTGCCTGCTATATGTATCCATTGCTATAGTCAATCAGCAATTGGTAGGGCACAAAATGCAATGTACAACGGTAAATCTCGACATATACGTCATAGACACAATACTATTAGACAATTGCTCTCTACAGGTATTATCTCTATAGAGTATGTGAAATCAAAAGATAATATGGCGGATTTGCTAACTAAAAGTTTAACAAGAGAGCAAGTCGAAAGTTCATCGAAGGGGATGCGATTAAAACTAATAAAATAATCAAAAATTTCCATGATGGCAACCCAACCTAGTTGACTGGAGACCCCAAGATCTAAGTTTAATGGGACAATCGAACTGTGGAAAACTTAGTATGCACTGGGAAGATTTTACTTCTACCCATTCCTATGATGAGCCAGTGCCCAGCTGCCGTGAAATAGGTTAAGATACGTTTTTAATGATTTCTATATCTTGATTCGTTCAAGTGGAGTATAGCATAATGCTCTTTATGGAAATCACCTATTGAGTGAGAAGGGGCCGCTTCTAAGAGAATTAGGTGATGATGAATTCTCTAAAAACCACTCATGAACCAGGAGGTGTCCAAGGCCAAAATGGACACAAACGTGAGAACCAGCTGTGTTCGAAGAAAACTGTGTGACTTCTATTGTTTAGGTTTCCATTAACGGTTGACTGTTCAAAACAACTTGCTACTGATTGGCTAAGGAAATCCGATAGATTTTACTAGGGAAAGTTCAAAGTCATTGACTACTTATCCCGATACAATTTTCTTCAATTTTTTCTTTGAAAAACATATCAGATGTTATCGTTTGGAATAAGGCCAACATATTTCATTCATTTGGGGGATTGTTGGAAAAATGGTTATGAAATGAGTCAACTTTGAGCTCAAATTTTAGTGGGACCCACCTTTTAATTAATACGGGACCTAGCATATTCACGTTCTACTTCGCGAGATGATTAATGTGATATATTTATTTATCGAAAATCATTTAAAATTGAATGAAATATTAAGTGTTAAAGTAACCCACATAAACTAAGTATTATGGAAGAATTTGATTTTCCAAACACTTATCCCACATAGGAAAGTTAGGAAACTTTGGTGTGGTTTATAAGGTGGAAGTTTGGAATTGGGTTTTGGCCCCAAGGGGTACCAATAGTCTTTGGAAGGGGAAAAACCTATATCATATTGGGTTCGATCATAAACCCACACGTGCGCGCCACCGCCGCCGTCCATCCGACCTGTTCGGCTCGGCACGGCACGAGCACGTGCCCGTGTCTGTGTCCGAGTCCGGGTCCGGTCTGGTTCGGTGCGGGTGCGGGTGGACCTTTACACTATATTAACTTTTTGGACAAAATTTGGGCCAAATTGTAAATAATCAAATTCTTGGGTACATTATGAAATTTAAATTTTGGCTTATTCCGAGTGTTTTATTTTCTTTTAACAGTCGACTGTTTACCGACCAAACAGCCGACTGTTAACCGACTTAACAGACACAACTTTTAAGAACAGCATGTCTGTTTGGATTTTTGAGGCTTGTCTGAAAGGTAATGACTGTTCGAATGGCCACGAATAAGTCTAGAAATAGCCAGCCTCTCTACCAGAAAATTTACACCATTTTCATTGCAAACTTTCTCTGCTTTGAATCTCATTTCCCTCTATCTCGTTCTGATATTGTCTCGAAATAAAACACACTTCGTTGAGTTCGTTGGAACTCCTGCAGATTGCAGTGCTGCTTCCGTAGGAGACGAAAATTCGTTCTATCCTGAAAAATGATTGCTGGACGCCTTTAGCACCATTGAAGACAGCAAATTCGTTTTAAGGAAACATCGTGAAGTCGTTGGGTTCGAATTACAATTTTGGATCCTGTTGATCAATTCTTACATTCAGGTGATCCTGTCGGATTGTTTTCGAAGGAGTAACTTCAAACTCTAGAAACAATACAAACAACATAAGCTACCTTAGTTGAAGAAAGGTATGAATGTTATGGTGTCTATGTGCATTAATTACTTTATCTATCAGACCAATATACAAGGATGAGGTTCTATGCAATGTGGTTGGCATGGATGCCTGTCACCTATTGCCAAGGCAACATTTGCAGTTTGATCGTCATTATTGCACAATGCATTTGTCAATAAATACAATTTTATGTATGGAGAAAAGAATATTGCGTTAGTACCTAGCAAAGCCTCTGGCACATCCACAGGTATTGGGGACAGTACCAATCTACTAAACTTAGGAAAGTTCGAGTTGGAAATGACAAATTCTAGTTTAGTATTTGTTTTGGTGGGTAAATCTATTGATACCAAGACTACAATTCCTAAGAAGATTCGGATTCTGATTGAGAAATTTCAAGATATATTTTCAGAAGCAAGATGAATTACCTGCATTACTGAATATCCAACATCAAATGAGGATGAGTCTAAAGGAACATGAGGAGTTACGTAGTCAAGTTGAAGAATTTTTGACAAAAAGACTTTGTCCAAGAAAGTCTTAGCCAGTGTGTTGTTTGTGCTTTGCTTACACCAAAGAAAGATGGAACGTGGGGCATGTGCGTGGATAGTCATGCTATAAATAAGCTCACAATATGTTATCTTTTTCCAATTCCTCGGTTATATGACTTGTTGGATCAGCTTAGTGGAGTACGTGCATATTCAGTAAGTTGAATTTGAAGAGTGGCTACCACTAGATTCGTATTCAACTCGAATATAAGTGGAAGACAGGTTTTAAGATATGAAAGGGGCTCTATGAGTGGTCAGTTGTGCCATTCGATCTGTCCAACACTCCAAGCACCTTTATACGAGTCATGAATCAGGCGCTCTAGTCATTTATTGGTAAAGTTATCATCGTTTACTTGATGATATCCCGATATATAGTGCTAAACCCAATGATTATTGGGAACATCTTTGAAAAGTTCTTGCCGTTGTGCTTTGCTTACACCAAAGAAAGATGGAACGTGGGGCATGTGCGTGGATAGTCATGCTATAAATAAGCTCACAATATGTTATCTTTTTCCAATTCCTCGGTTATATGACTTGTTGGATCAGCTTAGTGGAGTACGTGGATATTCAGTAAGTTGAATTTGAAGAGTGGCTACCACTAGATTCGTATTCAACTCGAATATAAGTGGAAGACAGGTTTTAAGATATGAAAGGGGCTCTATGAGTGGTCAGTTGTGCCATTCGATCTGTCCAACACTCCAAGCACCTTTATACGAGTCATGAATCAGGCGCTCCAGTCATTTATTGGTAAAGTTATCATCGTTTACTTGATGATATCCCGATATATAGTGCTAAACCCAATGATTATTGGGAACATCTTTGAAAAGTTCTTGCCGTCCTCTATAAGAACAAATTTTATGTTGCAGTAGCCAAGTATTCTTTCCTAACAAAACATGTAGTATTCTTGGAGTATATGGTTTCAAATGATGGTTTAGTATTGGACACAACAAAAGTCGAAACGATAAATCAGTGACCACTGTCAACGACAGTTATAGAAGTTTACAATTTTCATTGTCATGCTTTCTTTTGTAGGAGATTTATATCACACTTCAGTAGCATCATGGAATCTATTATGAATTTTATGAAGACAGGGAGATTTCATTGGAGCCTTCAAGCAGATGAATCATTTCGGTTGATTAAATAAAAACTAACTTTCATTCCTATTCTGGTACTATCTGATTGTATGCAACCTTTTGAGCAACAATGTGATGCTTTGAAGGTTGATATTAGTACAGTTCTTAGTAAGATTGGCTGACCTATGGCTCATTTCAACGAAAAGTTCTTAGGCCTTAAGTCTCGATATAATATCTTTGATATGGTGTTTTATGCTATAATCCAATCAATTCAACATTGAGTCACTATTTGTTTTAGAAAGAGTTGGTTTATATACTGATTATGATGCCCTTAAACACCTTAGTACTCAAGATAAGGTGTCACTCGACATGTTACTTGTATTGCATACATGCAGCAGATTACTTTCATGATTAAACACAAGGCATATTGAACAAGTCGATAGATGCATTGAGCAGATGTCAATCTCTCTTGATGGAATTACGAGTAAAGGTACTAGATTTTGGGACCTTTTGTGACTTATACGCTACTGATCCATATTTTCCAGTAATTATCCAGAAGTTACAGGAGGGTGCACAGTCAAATTTTGTGTGGGTTGACTATTTTATCTTCAAAGGAAATCAAATGTGCATTTCAAAAAGCAATCTGCACCTTATAATTGTTCAAGAATTGCATAATGAAAGAAATGTGGATCTTGATTGTACATTACAACTTATGGCTGCATCCTACTATTGGCCAACAAAGAGGAACAAAACATGAAGATTTGTTAAACGTTGTTGTGCATTTTATCTTTCAAAAAAAATGCTACTAATGCTGGGTTGTACATGTTGTTACCTATCCCAACCAAACCTCGGACTGATGTGAGTATGGATATTGTTTTGCGCCTTCCTCGAATTCAGCAGGGCTTTAATTTTATCTTTGTAAAGGTGGGTTATTTTTCAAAAATGATATGTTCATCCCTTGCAAGAAGACAATAGATGCATTCAATATGGCGGTGTTGTATTTTTGTGAGGTATATTCATTACATAGACGTCCTACATCTACTGTATCTAACAAGGATACCCATTTTCTTAGTCTCTTTTGGAAGAGTCTATGAAGTCTGGTGAATACTCGATTGAATTTCAGTAGTGCTTACCATTCTCAGACAGATAGTCAAACTGAAATGGTTAATTGTTCATTGGGAGATTTGTTGAGTTCCTTGGTTGGTCAGTTAATTAAGTCGTGTGGTCGGTTAGTCAATCAAGTCGTGGGATCAGAAAATAAGTTAGGCAGAATTTGCTAATAACCATGTTATGAACCAGAGAATGGGATTGGACTGGTAGAGATTGTTGAGAAAATTATCACCAATGTCTAACATTGAAAGCTGCCTATCATATTCGTATTTCTGATGTTTTAAATGTCAAATATCTGTTGCCATATTCATACTCGTGATGAAGATGTTTCCTTCCAATAAAATTTGAGGGTGAATTTTCTCCAGTCATGGGAGAATGATGCCATAGAAAAAGATGAAAAATACGACCTGTTTCAACCTAATTCCATCGTTTAGGACTTTGAAAATGCATTTTTTGTTATTATGAATAATTTTCTTAATTTAATTAGATTGAAATTTTTATTCCGTTTAGATTGGAGATCTAATTCCGTTTAGAGTTTGATTTTATCTTTAAATCTTAACTTTATTTAGAGATAGTCATTATCTATAAGTTTGGTTATTATCCAGATTTTAATTAATTCTTTAAATACGAATTCTAAGCCTTTTTTAATTAGTTAATTTTTTTTTTGTGATAATAAAATTCGTGAGAAGTTTCTCTTAAATATTGTCTCTTTTTTTACATTTGTGAATGAATGAACAAGTTTGAACGTCTCATGAAATTTTTTTCTTCCTTATAAATTTTCGCTACGTCAAAATGCAATGTTGAAAAGCTATTCCTGGCCAATTATATAGCATCAAAGTTTAATGACACTCCCCTGGACTCTAGAGGGAAGCCAAGATTAACGAAGTTCAAGCGAAAAATCAAATTGATTCTTAAAATATTTTTTCATCAAATACATAATTTGTTGCTATGTTAGCCTAATTAACATCATCAAACGAATATTTTACAAGAGTGTGATGCGTGTCTGAATGGTCAACTGACTAGATCGAACCACATTCCAACAAGTGTCCCTTCTTTTGAGAACATATCTATTTTAATGTCATTTCCAAAATCATAATCGATTTCTATTACTTTTGAGTGCACAAATATGCCCAGTTTGAGCTCCATTATTTCTTATTATATTAAATTAATTTTTTTTCTTTTCTACTTTAATCATACAATTTTCAATAAAATAATATTACACGTAAATTAAAAACTTTTCAACCACTCATTTTTTTAAAAAAAACACTATTCATCTCATTATAATGTCAAATAATGGGGCTCAAACGGCCCTTATATTACTTCAATTGCATAATGATCATATGAATTCTAAAATTGGTGGATAAAATTAAATCATGATTGAGTAAAATAAGTCCTACATTTTTAACATCTTTATACATTTTAGCAAAATAGTCTTAGTAGCGATTTTTCCAATCATAAGCAATATGCTCGATGAGTACTTGATTCTTAATATGATCATCGACAATAAAATATTTTGTCTATATATTTTTTTCGAATCCCTTTTGCTATTTCTTTGGAAAAAAATTGTAGCCAAATTACTAACCTACATTTCCGATGGCCCCTACCATAGAATCAACAATTCTGAATCTTTTAACAAAAATTTCAAGCATTAGTGTCTGCAACAGAGGTTCCTAAGGGTAGGTTCCTATCTGTAATTATCTGAACTTTGAAAAAGTGATTATTCACTATCTATATTTTCATGCATTTACTTTTGTTACATTGTTGATACGAGCAGTTGCCCAAGAAGGTTTCATTGTACATGAATCCGAATTTATGGAGAATTGGCTCATTCAACGAATTGAAGCACAACTGGTGATATCAAGTTTTCTTAGCTTGACAATGAAGCTATAATATGCTTGAAATAATGCAGAGGGTAAATTTCTTGTGCAATCACTCAACTTTCCATAAAATTTCATCAGGGTCGTTAAATTCTAACTTTTAATTCAGTTTCAAATTATGAAAGTTGCTTAATTGGTAGTCATGCTGCAATAGAGCTTACATGTAATCGTAGTGCAACGGTCCAATTTATCGCTATGTTATGTCATAAAAATGTTAAAACGAAGTTAAAAAAAAACATATTTTAACATTTCTATATAAAGACATTGACAACCTTTCTTTCAATGGTGCCAAGTAGCAATTATGTAGAAACGTAGTTATAGCATTGATTGTCAACTAAGAAATTTATGCTAATTTGGAGGACGATAAGTGACGGAATTCAACGTAGTGGTGGAAATCAAACTAAATTAAAAATTAGTGAAATTGAGATAAATTAAAGTTTAGTTACCCAATTAAAATTTCGTTGCAAGTTTAGTTATTGCAGGTGAAATTTGCCCCTATGCAATGTATTACGGGTAGTTCCTAAAAAGGATCAGACTAATGACGTATACAATACTTGCACTCTTGATATAGATGCTACATAGTTAGTTCTAATCCTTCAAAAACTACGAGTGTAATAGGAGCGTCCATCGACAAAGGGATCACCTTAAGAAGATAATTTCATGGCTATTGAGAACGAATTAAATCAGATGGTTCTATTTCCCAAGCTTTCTTACTTGATCCTATGGAACCAAAGTTGAAAAGATTAAAAAAAATCAGTCATTCACAACAACTAATGAAGGATTCCTCAAAAAGTTAAGGATTAATAAACTTTTTTAGAAGTCGAATGGATTCGATCTTATACATATGCGAGGAAGGTAATCAAAAAAGAAAGAAGATGATCAATCTAGAATATGCGAACTTGTATAAGAACACAAAAATCAACACGATTGGTAAAGCTTAAAAGGTGCTTTTACACACTTTATTCTATCAAGACTAATATTTCTCGAACAAAAACTGCCCGAGCAAAAAAATTTGCCATCATCACATTTACCCGAGTTACGAACTTCTTCTATCCTTAGAAGAGGTAAGTAAGATAACGTTATTTTCCAGCAGAAAACTAGTAGGCCAACTATCCATTGAAAAAGTTTAAATGGTTAGTTCTGTGATTGAAACTGCTTAATTAATATTTATTTCTTTAAGTAGTTATTTCTTTGCAGGTAACTTTTTCTTTTCCTAACTAAGAGGATGTGGGAGACTTTCATCTAAAGAATCCCTTAGGCTTCACTCCTATAAATTTAAAGTGTGATTGCACTTTGGCCTATTTGTCAAGGAAACATCAATTTAGTGACCCCAACACCAACTTTATCTTTTGTCACTCTCAAGTTCAACTACCTACTGGACTTATAAAATCTTGCATCGTCTAGCAATATCACGAACCACGTTTTCTCTTTCCTCGTCTTCCTCTTCCTCTTCTTCTCATCCTTCTATATTTCAATACTTAAGGAGGATTTTGTATGAAATGAAAGCCATGGACTGGTTTTCTTGGCTATCAAAAACTGGCCTAGATCCTTCTTTCGTTCATCAGTACGCCATAAGTTTTGTTCAAAATGAACTCCAACAAGATGACATAGCTTATTTTAATCACGACTTGCTACAGAGCATGGGAATTACTGTGGCAAAACATCGGCTCGAGATTCTCAAGCTTGCTATGAAAGAAAAGGGCAGGAGAATACACCCAATGTTATGGTTCATTTTTGCCATCAAGCATGCCAAGACATTTCTTGCTAAGCATGTTCGGGGTTTGGTTCATAATGAAAATTCGGCTTTTGTACCGAGAAGGAATTACAGTTTGAGATGGAAGGTATCTATGCTGCAAAGGAACAAGATGTTGAGAACAACAACGCCAAAAATGCAATTTATGCTAACAAATGGAGATTCCGTTGCTGAGTCTGGCCAAAAGATTTTGATGCTGACAAATGGGAGCCCCTCAGTGGACTCTCAGAGCTCTGGCTCGGACAAAAACTCGCATATCTCAAATAAGACATGGAGTCATGAAAAAATGGACGTCAATGATGGTCAGGATTGGTTGAGTAGTGTCGAAGACATCACGTGGGATACAATGTTTCAGAATTTGAAACCCACATGATAAATAAACTGAATTTCCCTTGTAATAGTAGTAGAATCAACTTTTTTTTTTGGGCCCTGTTCTTTATGTTGAAATTTTATGAAACTTTAGACGTTATAAAACTTGAAACTTTAGAACTTGAAAAAAAATTCTCCATGTCAAATCACCAAGAAAATTAATGATGCAGAACATACCTTAATTACTTAGGAGTGATTCTTTATTACTGGATCTAGATTCCGGATCTTGAATCTTGAAAATCAACTTCGAATCTCTTCTGGATTGGTTTCTTGATTTCAACCTTGAATTTTGCCTCCTAGGATTCTTTGATTCTTGTTCTTGGTTTTACTTCTTGATCCATAATCTTGATTTTTGATTGTAGATTGTGTGTTATTGATTGTGAGTTTTGGATCTTCCTCTTCAATATGCATTCTCTCTAAATTCTTGTGTTGATGAGATAACACAAAGAATGAGAAGTTACACATAAATTGGGGACCATACCCTATTAATAGTTTCCATATGTATTTTGCTCATCAAGAAATATTATTCTAAAAAAATTTGATCTTTATTGGATCTCTTTAATTTTGTGCTTAACTTTTAAATAGCATTTATACACAATTAATTACATATGTTGGCCCATAGAGATGTCAATTGGGTAGAGCCGGCTCGGCTCAATGACGAGCCCGAGCTCGAGCCGAGCGGGGGTCGCGTCCAACAAGCCGAGCCCGCTCGGCTCGTCGAGCTCGACGAGCGGCTCGTGGGCCGAGCGCAATTATTCCTTTACATTGCACGATGAAAGTTGATTGATCAGATCTTCTTCCACCAATACAACATCATCTTCATTTTCTTGGAGAAAGACTATAAAATTATCCGAATTATCTTTCTCTTTTCTTTAGCGAATTTCCTTAATGGCATTTCTTCTTGAGATTATTGAGTTTGTTCTTCTGAAACAATCTTTTAATTGTATATGAGAGATTTTATAATATAGTCTTGATCCGAAATTACTTTTTGAACAAGATCTGGAACAAGAATTTGTCCTGGTCCAGATCATTGTCAATTGTCAGAGAAGGAATATTTAATAAATATTCCTCCTCAAAGACATAATCCCTAATCTTATCTCTCAGGGAAAACTTTACATCTCAAAAAACTCGGCATTTCTCTTTTCAGAAAAATTGACTTTCTAGTGGAATTATAAAATTTTTAACTCCTTAACAGTTACTTTACTTGAAACTTTATTGTGAATATAAGCTGCAGTCTTTAGCACTTCAGCCTAGAGAGATTTTGGTGTAGTATGGGACGATTCCACATTTTTCTTGGAATTTAGCAAAAGACCTTGGACGTTGTTCTCCTGATGTGTCATATTTGTCACAATACTCACCACTGTGGTAAGATCTAACTTTTTTTGTTCTTTTGCTGAGTTGATTTTTAGTATTAGTCTTGTATGCCTTGAACATGTTTAGTATTTGGAATTTGTCATAAATGAGATATAAATAGCCAAAATGAGAAAAATTCTTCTATGAACATAATAAATTACTATTGAACATTCCGAGCAAAGAAAATCGTCCACATATATCAGTATAAATTAGTTTTAAGACATTCGAAATTCTATTGGCTTCTAATCTCCTTATATTTTGTTGGTTTCCCCTTCATATAATTAACATAAACACATAAGTCTGAAAATTTAAAGGAATCAAGAATTCCTTCTAATATAAGATTTTATACTCTCTTTTGAGAGTGTAACCTAATCACTCATGTCATAACTAAACGGAATTCTCATTGTTTAATTTATATTTAATACCACAAGAATTCAAATGCAAGATTCCTTTATAAGAGGCAATCCTATTAACCAAATATAAGTTATCATAACTGAATAAAGAACTAGAACCCACAATATTTGAATTAAGAAAAAGACTTAGCTTACTATTTCCAATTGAACAAAAGTAATCGAATTTGTTCAATGTAGAAACAGAAACCAAATTTCATCTAAAAAGAAGGTATCGCAAATGCCTCTTACAAACTCAAATAATAATAAGTCGTTAATAATAACCTAAAAGTCCTTATCTCCTTAACTTTAACTGATTTGTCATCACCCTACATAGATGAATCTTTCAGCATCAATTGGCTTTAGGTTGTTAGACAACCCCACGTACACGCGCTTATTTGAATAGGGACACCAAAATTTTATCCACAAAGTGTGTTAGGGTATTGAAATTAATTAACCTCTAAACATACCAAAATGAAAAGTGTACTTGACTTTACACGCTAAGCATAATATTTAGTACAATTTCTCTTCATGTGTCCCAAATTTTCAAAAAGTAATGGCTAGATAATTTATTTTTTTTAGACGTTTATTGTTTTTTTTTTTTTTTTTAACTTAACTAGATGCAGCTTTATTACTCTTCAACTTGTCCTTAGATATACTTACAAAGTGAGTACTTCCAATTTTCTCTTGCTTTAAGATTTCTTCTTCTTGCATACAATTTAAAATGAGCTTATTTAAGAGTTCACTTTTTCTTTTTGATAGCTGTAACTGACCTTAAATTAACCGAATTGTGTAGGAAGAGAAATCAAAACCATATACATGAACAAGTCATTGAACACCATAAACTTTAATACCATTAGTTTTGAAACAAGATGAGACATATTCCCATATATTTTCTTTAGCATTATACTTTAGTAAAACATAGTTTGCCAGAAGCATAGTAGTTTTGACCTTATCGCTTTTTCACAAAGCATTTTGGAATATTTATTTAATAAATTTCTCTGTAGTACCTTATTGGATATAGCGCCCCCTGAATTTTGCTAGAATTTTATGCTTCATGATCATAAAACTTAGCGGTTTGAATGATCCCACTTTTTCAAGTCCCGTTCTATTAGCAAAACCCTTATCCGTAAGAGTAGTGGATTATTCAGTGCATGACGCAAGATCTAGATCCAAGTCGTCAAGAACAATACAAACATTCTCCTTTCAGCCCTTAAACTTTGGTTCAAGCGCAGAAATGTTATTAGTGTTGGCAGATATTATAGAAATAGATGCATTAACCGAATAGAGAAAATAAACCTAAATAATATGTTCGCATAAAAATTCGTATTGGACAATCAATAATTCAAATAGTGGTGAGCCTCATCACAAGAGACTGAGCACAATATTGTTATTTAGTCTTTGGACTGAAATATCAACTTACTCTTTGTGCAGTAATCAAATGTTGACAATAAATCCGGTAAAACTTCAAGTCTATCTTTGGATCGACTCAATATTCACATAATGAAAAACTTTATAATCGTCACATATTTATTACCACGAGTGTGTAAATATTTTTGTCAAATATTGACCATCCTTTGGACCGATGAATATTTGCATAAATTACGTACACAAAACATTTTAAATATTTTAAATAAATTAATTTAGGCAAGAGATGTTACTTTGGTAATATTTTTGCTTCAAATTAATCTATTTTAGAAAATTAATAATCCAAAAAAAAAGTTTAAATACCAAAATTTGAAATTGATTACCCCCGATATTGTTGAATCTTTAACATTTTATTTTTATTTTTATTTTTTTTAAAAACTTAAAACAAAAAAATGCAGCAAAACAGGTGCTGCAACGCTTGGCACTGTCTTTTTCTTTTTCCGAATCACGGTGTTGCATGTGTTATAGCACTGCAGTGCTTCTTTAATGCCGGAAAAAATAACAAAATTGTTTCTTGAATCTCAATGGATTAATATAGAATTGGTTCTGATACCACTTGCTGAAATTTTATGAAACTTTAGACTTTAAAACTAGAAACTTCAGCACTTGAAGAACTAAATTCCTTTATTGCCAAGATCCTCCATATCAAATCACCAAGAAAATTAATGATGCCAAACATACCTTAATTCATTGGTTTTTTATTACTAGAATTAAATTCCGAATTTTAAATCTTGAAAATCAACTTGGAACCCTTCTTGATTAGTTTCTTACTTTCAACCTTGAATTGTGCCTTCTAGGATTCTTTGATTCTTGTTCTTGGTTTTGCTTTTTAATCCATAATTTTGGTTGTTGATTGTAGAGTGTCTATTCTTGATTGTGTGTTTTGAATCTTCCTCTTCAGTATACACTCTCTAAATTCTTGTATTGATTGGATGACATAAAGAATGAGAAATTATATATGAATCGATGACCATAACTATATAAATAGTTTTGATATGTATTTCGTCCATCATGAAATACAATGCTGAAGCAATTCGATCCCTACACATATAATCTGACACACGCTTTATTTAAATGCACTAAGCCCAATTACTTAATTCTTTATTACATCACGTTAATTTTGGACTTAATTTTGAAATAGTCTTTATACGCAATTATTACAGATATCAACCACATGACAAATTAATAATTTTCCAACACTTTAACCAAAATTAAAGCTGTGGGATTTGCATTTAGTCCTCACTAGTGCAGTATAAAATTTTATTTCTCATTTGTGTCCAATATATGTTTACTTTTTTCCCTTTCCAACCCATAAATACAAGAATACAACATAAGAATGTTCATCAAAACCACAGGAAAAAAGAGAGCCAAATCAAGAGGATAGAATCTGAATGCAAAAATTAACTTTGAAGTAATATAGCACGTCCCATCCAAGACCGTGGATAGCTAATATCCATGATATGTATTATCTTCAGTATAGATAGAACAGACTGTAAAAATTCGTCATTTTCCTGAGGAACTTAAAATACAATGTAATATGCAGAACACATGCTTATACAGTACCGAATGATTACCCATACGGCTCTGCAATAACTTCAATACACGACTTTGAGATGGGGGTGTAACTCGACCCCAAACTCTTAGATGCCAATAGACTCGTGTTATCGATGATCAGAGCTTTTGGGCAGACGGAAGGGACCTCCAGCATAAAGCATTTGGTCTTATTCTGATGGTCAGTATAATGCTCAAGAAAGTTCCCAAACCACAAACATCAGCTAAAACAAGGAATGTGAACCTAAAGCAATTGGGACCCATGCAAGACGACACTTGCTGCTTAGCTGCCTCTGTGTCGTATACATGACCGGCAAGCCAACGTGAGAAGAGAAATGCAACAGCTGGATTTCCAAGCTGCATGAAGTTGAATGTTAATCCAAAGCGTCTCAACCCAAAAAGCTCCGATGTAGTTGGAATCATAATGCGAAATTGAGCACCGTAACAAATTCCAAGTAATGCTGTTGCAGCATAGAGAGTGCCACTGAGAGCTGAAGCATATAGAAGAAATGTTAAGGTCATGATTATTTGTGTTACTGTCATCCAAAATGTCCGAGGAACCATTTTTGACCGGCAATCGCGCATAACATTAAGCCGTCAGATAACGGTGTCACAAAAACTAAAATAAGGAAGTTGTCACAAACATTCCATACTGCATGACAAGAAATCAAGTTGGCTGGTGCAAATCAAGTTGGACAGGCAAGTCATTCAGTGGATAAATGTTACAAATTACATGGATATCCTCCTAGTTATAAGAAAAGCAGAAATCTGGTTTTACTGACCAATTAGAAGCTACCAACGACCAATCAAGGCATGTGTTGCAAATCAGGTAGTTTTCAAGTCTATTTCAAAGTGAGTACAGAGTAATGCAAGAGATTTCATGCAATCTTTGAACCCTACTCAATACCAGCAACTAATGAACATGTTGAGCAATCATCTGGCTTCTGCAAAAGTTTACACAGGGAATGATGAACACTCTAATCAGGTGACAGGTGCTTGATTCTCTATTGCTTTTAATCCATGGCTACACCTCAACAATGGTGGTGGATTCTGAGGCAACCAACCATAATGCTTCAATCAATCTACTTTCAGTACTATGAAACCTTTAAGAATGTATGTGTCACTTTGTCAAACCATAAGAGAATTCCTGTAAAATTCATTGGGACTGTGAAATGTGGCCATAGTCTGATGCTTAAAGATGTGTTATATGTGCTACAGTTTAAATTCAACCTAATGTCAGTTAGCTGATTAACCAGGGATCCTTGCATTGAAGTTAGATTCTTTATTACACGTGTTTTCCAGGATGCACACAACTAGAAGATGAATTGCAAGGGTAAAAGAATTGCCGATTTATACATAATGAGTGATTCCTCATGTGATTTAGCACAAGATAATAAAATTAACGCTTTGATTGATGACGTTTGTGTTTCCATTTCCTCAGCTGTAAATAAAGTGAATACTAGGAAAACAAGAAGAGGGAAATGGCAGGCAGAACATAAGGAGTTGCGCAATTAGGCCTTCCCTCAGGCATGGTATATCCGTATGTACAGTTTTCTTGCCAACTCCAAAGAGTAAAACCAGAGAATAGCCAGATCAGTCCTATCATTTTGTTTTTGTTTTTATATTAGTAGTAAGAAAATGAAGAGAATAAAAGACGATTAATTTGGATTTAAAATCTTTATGCACGCTTAGCACCGTACAAATAGCAAAGAACACCCGTCTTCTTATACTCACAACAAAAATACTTGAATTTCAGTTAGCTAAAGTAAACAATCCAACCCTTCACATATGATACTGGAAAAAGTTCAGAAAAATAAAGCCCACTAAAATTCAAGCAGAAAGCCATAATGATAATACGAATTTTACAACTTACAACCAATAAGGCCGGGACTGAACAGTTTGGCTAACAGAAAGATAAAGAACACCAGAGCCCAAGAAAGAGGGAAAAGCACCCACAAGAAGAACAGCCCGTGGTGGGAATTTGTTGCAGACATTCTCCCCAATATCATTTGCCACTCCAAGAAAGGTCAACTTTTTCTGGTTGAAGCCGAGAACTGATTTCAGTGAAGGAGAGTATAAAGGAAAAGAACAGGCACTCCCTGCTGCTATTTCTGCCCAAACTGCAGCGCCTAAGCCCACCCATGGTGGCTACATTCTTCTGGGAAGATTCTTTGATAGAAATTCTTGTTGTTACTTAGCTCAACGCTGAAATATATACATAAACAGAAAAAAGAGTGTGCGTGAGACGGATTGTTGGGACTGGAAATTTTTGTGGGAGACGGGCTGTAATTGTGTATTGTCTGTAATAAAGACCAAACACGTAACATCATGCACTTGGGAAAAAAATAGGGATGCATGTGTAATCTGAATTGTTGCACTGTAATATATGAGTTACAGTGATCTTCATAAATAGCCAAACGCCTGGAACGATCTGAGAACGTGTATAAACCACTAAGGAATATGAACATCTATTATTGCCTAATTAATCTACTATTACACTAATTAATAACTATAAAAATTAAATTAAATCATTAGTACGTACTTAGTAACTGCCAAGTTAATGAGACCCCCATTATTTCACACATTAATTCAAGAATTAATAAACTTTAATGCAAATAACTGATATTCAAGCTATATAATCCCTTTTCTGTGTCCTAAATTTTCATCAATCAGAAATCTATCTTTTACTTACAAATTGAGATGACTTCCAAATTTGTTCTTTTGGTTCTTCTTGGGGTTCTTATTTGCACCACCACTGCGAGAAAGCTAGTTGACTCAAATGATTCTGTCGATGATAAAAATGTCTTCTTTGATCACTGGAATTTAGGAGGTGGCGGTGGTGGTGGAGGTGGTGGTGGCGGTGGTGGAGGTGGAGGACTAGGGGGAGGTTCTGGTTTCGGAGAAGGATTTGGTGGTGGGTTTGGAGGTGGTGCTCAAGGAGGAGGAGGAGGTTTTGGTGGTGGAGGTGGTGGTGGAGGCGGATTGGGTGGAGGATCTGGGAGTGGATTTGGATTTGGTGCTGGCTATGGCGGTGGAATGGAAAGTGGAGGAATCCCTTAAGTAATTAAAGAAGTTTCAATCCCAAACATTTCCAATTCATACCTAGTGATCATTTTCATGGCTCAATTATTAAGTACTAGATTGCATATGTTTAATGTAAGCTTCATTTTGTTGATTAATATATTTGAATAAATTTGATCAGAATGGTGTTGTAGCGTAAGTCCTTTTGGACAGGAAAAGTCCAAAACGCCCATAAAATGTACGTGTACACTTGTCGAAATGATACAAAGGCAAAAATATCGCTTCAATTGATCTTAATAAAAAAAAAAATCACTTCCCAAAATCGATCATTATTATCAAGTACTGAGTATTTTCAGCCAAATGATTTAACATTCACGTAGGCTTCTGATGTTTAGTTTATGGATTAAGATAACTCAGTGAGAAACATGAAAATAAATTTGTAGTTCAACTATTTGACTGAGACAAATTAAAGTTTGGTAATTGAGACTAACCCACACATAAATTTTACTGATTTGCAATATCCATTCTAAGTAAATAGGAATAGACGTTTCTAATAAATTTCAAAAATGTAATAACATGTTAATTAAATATACATTTTTTTATCTACATATTTTGCAGGACCCATAGCTAGTTCACTTATTGTCGATGCAATCTAAAATTCATGGCTTTCAATCACTTGGAAAAAATTTAGCTTTGCCATGCATGCACTTAAAGTGCTCAGAGAAGATTGTAAGAGATGGTTGAAAGATTATTTAAGTAGCCTTTTTGTAATCTGCCTTAAGGATTTTGTATAGATGTCCCATATATTATCAATTGTAAAATATTTGTCAATTTTTCAAAAGGTGCTCAAAAATGTCCTTTTGGGCGTTAAATGTCCAAGTTACCCTTGTAGATTCCTTTTTGAGTACATATATTGCTCATTAATACTAATTAATGCCATGTTTTGATGTTTAACTTATGTAAGAAAAATCTATGAATATATTTAATATACAATAAATAATAGAAATTTTAGACAAGAAACAAAAATAAAAATTATCTCATAATCTTTTCTTCAAGTGCTAACCATAAATATTAATAGTTCAACTGTCGAACTAGAATGTGAAGATTGATAGTTAAAATGTCGAACTCGACACTTACTAAATGTTAGGAAATATATTTAAACTATCAGTCTCACCGGTTTGCTACTGTTTGGTATAATTTATTCGTAAGTGCCACTTGCATGATTTTAGAAGTCCAATATATAAATTGTGCCGAATGTTTATTATTGATATCTCGAATTTTTAGCTATGAGTAATAATTTAAGATTTATCTTGTCGCATGGAGGCGAGTTGGACACAATCGGGCCACATGTTCGAACCCGTTCTAGCACCAAACACTTACAGTTGAATGATATTTATGGCTTGAGGTTGTATTTTGAACATTACAATTATGTTGTTTGTTGTTTATGTCATATTGTCGTTTTCGTGTTATTACCGTTGCAGCTTTTATTCTGGTACAAAAAACGTTCTACTTTTTTACAAAACATAAGATTTCATTAATTGCGAGCTGTTAAGTAGTAAATGAAATAAAATATCTGAACATAATGATTGATCAAACACGCAATATTATGGTTATATATTAGCACGTAATTTTCACTAAAATTAGAAAATTTAAATATAACCGATAACATGAAGCATTATTTGCTTACATCAAGTGTCGTCGACATTTGACCTTTCGCTCCCATTGACTTCCTCCTCATCGTCCAAGCTTATGACAATAACCTCGGGTGATGAAACATTACAATCAGAGGAACCATGTATTCGAAAAATATCATTGACTTTATGGTCAAGTGATTGAGATAATTGGCTAGAAACATCATCCAAGTTGGGAAAAAGGAATTTAGTGATAGTATCGTTGATCATCCATTATTTACAAACAATTCTTTATAAATGATATCAGGATAGTTTGGCCCGCTACACAATAAAAATGTCTTTTCATAGATGAACATGAACTAAACAAACATAAAAAATAAGTTTTTTGGCGTACACGTCATAATATAACTTGGAAATAATATGAAAAATTATAAATCCAGATGCAACACATAGTTGTCCGAGTTAGTGAGTCCTATTCGTACTATTCTTCCATCTCTTCCGAACACTCTTAGTGTAAGGAGTTCGAAATCCATCTATAACTCCATTAACATAACAAATTCTAATGTAAGAAGATTTAACATGAAATGAATTCGTACGACACACAAAAATAGATTTTCGTTTTATTATAACTATCTAGTAATCCATTCAGTTTGTCCAAAATTCCAGTAACCATTTGTCGAGAATGATTGATTTTTTTAACAAATGTTCTGTCAGTACTTTAAAAGAAACTCCCCAAGTGCAACACATAAATCAAAATTTCTAATCCACAATGACCATTGAATGAACCACATTGCAACCAATTGAATCAACCATAGCATGAAACATAAAATGAACCACATTACCCAAGCTATGAATCAACAGATTGAACCACATTGCAACAAATTGAACATATCAATCAACTTTCATTACTAAACCTACAATCAACATGTATATTCTAATAAATCACAATTAAAATGTATATTCTAATAAACCAAAAACTCAACTTACATCCAAGCACACCCTAAATCCCTTACAAGAGTTTAATTCATGAGAAAATAAACAACAATGGACATGTATATTCTAATTTCAAGGCAAACCTACCACCTATTAGAGACAAAAATACAACTTCCTAAAAAAATCCAAATTTTTTGGCCAAAGATTCAACATTTTTGAATAATATTAAAAAATTCAAAAATCTTAAACCTTAGTTAATGGAAAAATGGGAGATGAACATACCTTATGTTAAAATGAGAGTTGATTTTGGGGATACAAACTTTTTGTTCTCTGACAATTTCGATATATACTATGGAAGGAAAAAATCAATCACTTGAGAGTGAAGTGAAAAATGAGGTAAATGGGGTGTTTTATCGATCATGGGAGTGACATAAGTTAGAGTTTTATTTTTAAACAATGGAGGAGGATATGAGGAAGAAGAAGAGAAAATTTCAATAATGGAGGTTGGTTGTGAGTTTAGTACATGGGTGGGAGTGGGGATAGGGGTGATGTTTTCAACTAGGGATGTAAATTTGGTTCGTTGGCTCGGACAGTCTATAACACGGCTCAATAAAAGCTTGAACTGACCTAACTCGTGGCTTGGAAGAACTGAGCCAAGGCTTGAGTCGAGCACCATTTTGGGGCGTTGACTCGAGCTCGGGCCAACTCGTGTGACTCGACGATCCACACGGGCCGGCCCATAACGAGCCGAGCCTTAGGATAAAAAAAATGCCCACAAGCAACATGAATATAAAAAAAATGATAATAATAAAATTTAAATGAAAAAAACTGCCTTAAAACAGATAGCTATAGTAGCTGCCTGTTTAACTACGCATTTTATGCCAGATTGAAATTTGAAATTCAAGTTTCAAATTTTAATTTCAAATTTAGTTGAGTCGATTATATATTTTTGCTATAAATATGAGTTAAATTTTTGAGTTTCATATCAATTTTTTCAATCAATTGTAACTTGCAGTATTCTAGTTTCAACTTCAGTTTCCAATTTTTTTGCTCTAATATTCAATTTCGATGCAACAAAGGAATATAAGGGTGTTTATTATTCGACATTGTTACTTGTTTTGCAACACTTTTTCTACATTTCACAAACATTTCATAAATATAGGAATTTGACAATTTTTGTTGGTGTGGTCTAGCTTATGGAGTTAAAATTTCGTAAATTTTGGGAAGAATTGCCCTCTTTATTTTTTTAGTTTCAGTGATGGACTCTTAAATTAATTTAACTAGCACAAAGCTATTATAAAGGAAATTTAAAATTTCATAAATGTGGAATTATCACATGTGTATATATAATCAATATTAAGTAAAATGTGTAACTATTATGTTGAAAAAGGATATTAGTGTAGCTCTACTCCTCAAGGTTCTTTTTCAAAAAATATTTCAACAAATTCATATAGTATATGGAATTATTTAGATACCAATACAAGCGTTTTCTCATATAGTTTTACTTCATCAATATCTAGCGCGATAGATGTTAGTCGTACAAATTTTGAAATTCCCTATGAGTTAACTAGGAATATGTGCGTGGATGTTCATAGTGTGTTATAACCGAAAGAATTACGGGAATTTAGTCTTCTATCATGGTGGAGATGTAACAAAAGGTAATATCCAATTGTGTCCAAAATTGCATATGATCTACTAACACATCCAGTATCTACAATGGCATCGTAGGCTGCATTTAGTTTTAAGTAGTTGGATTTTATCAAACGAAAAATCTAGACTAAAAGAAGATATATTGAAGGTTTTAATATGCTTAAGGGACTGAGAATGTACAAAATTACGTATTCAAGAACAAATTGACAGTATCATGGCTAAAGAGTTACAATAGATCCAAGTATAAGAATATTGTAAGTTTTTAAATTGATTAATTTTAAAAAAATGTAATTTTTTAAATCTATTTGTTTCAAGAAAAATTATATACGAAATATTTTATTCGTGTATAATTTTCACTACGTCTACATTGATTTTAGCTGGCCTCAAGCCCAAAAAGGGAAAAGGGTCGCAACTTTTATTTAATTTATAATTCGTATAAATTGCACAAATTTTAAATTCTTTAAAAAAATAGTAGAATTGTTACGAATTAAAAAAAAAAAAAAAAGCAAGCTGGCTCAGCAAGGCCTCGAGCTGAAAGCTCGGGTCGAG